CTGAGGTGGGAAGACCTACAATTGTTCTCTGAACAATTGGTTTGTTCTCTGAACAATTGGTTTTTAATTGTTCTTGAAATGCTTGATTCATTATACACACAACTGTTTGATAAATGGGGAACTGAAATATCTGCTTGAATATCGGTATTATTAGTAAATGTATCAGAATTATTAAATGTAGATGGTAACAATGATATTCCAAGTTCAAGACGAGAATATCTTATAAACTTAATAGCATTCTCTATTTCATCAGCTAAAGAAAAATTTTTCAGAAAATCTAATGAAAGCAAGTTTTTCTTTGAAATGAATGAATCATGTGCACTATCATATAATTGACTTTCATTTTTTTTCAGTATATCTTGTTCTTTTCTATGAGGTAAAAAACATAATATCAAACTATAAAAATATGCATCATTAAAAACTGAAAATTTGGGTAGTTTAATCACAACACACTTGAGTCTTTTACGCATGTAAGTTTTACTGAATGGATCTTGCAGTTGAATACGAATGGAAGCTTTTTGCGTTAACTGCCTTGGTTTTTTACATTTAACAAACCACTGGGCAAATTCATAGAAACTTAAATTTTCATATGACAAAGGTCTTGCTCCGTAATAATCAAGCATATTGTAACAAAATATATCTGTGCTATTGTCTTCTAACTTATCTCGGTCAGATTTGGGTTTCAGTAATCTATATCTTAATTCTGGGGGTTTCACATTCAGGGATAAAATAGTTCGACTAGTTGAAATTAAATGCAAATCACTTAATCTATATGCTGCTTCTTGGGCACTCAGTTTCCTAGTTTTCAAAACACAACAACCTATTTTCAATAGACGCTGTCTTTGTGTTGTTTCTTCAGGAATATTTGATATTAATTCAGACAGCATCCTTCAAATCTTCTGGTTCAGACTTGCATAAATATGCACACACATAATATGCTGCAGACTCTGCATTACCTATTATTTGAATGTCCATGTTTGCTCGCCAGTGTAATAAAATTGTAGGATTAAACGCATTTATATATGCATCACTTGGATTTCTTGCAGTTTCATAGAACTTGCATTTTTGTTTATCTGAAGCAACTTCAAGATTTGACACTAATTTAGTATCAGTACATGGTTTGTATGGAAATCCAAATCTACATCTCCCAGTTTTATGTAAACAGTAATTTGAGTGACCATGTGTTTGATATTTTTTTACCAGTGATGAAAGGTGAGGACTATCAATTGGTGTACGAGTACTAATTGTAGCATTTATGTATTCTAACAATTTTTCTCTGTGGTTGAATATGCTTTTAAAATTCTCAATCCAAAAGAAAATATGCATATGTGGACTACCCCGGTTTTGAAATTCTACTCTACAAAAATAATCTTTAACTTTACCTAAAGGTGCAAGTTTACCATTTATAACATGATTTAACAAAGCTTTGAAACGTCTTTGAAAATGCAATGCAGTTAGATAGGGATCTTCTTTTACTAATAAAAGAGCGTTCTGTATAGTACAAGCTTCTTCATATGAGCATTGTTTAAGAGTCATTATAACTTCAGGCCAATGCATATCATTTGCTGATAATGTCATAAATAGACTTGGTGTTCCTAAATTTTTAAACATTGCTAACAAATTTAATAAATTATTTTTCCAATATGCTGCAGTTCCTCTGATGTTTTTCATAAACATATAGGAATTTGTAAGGAGATCTGGATTTTGATTTAAATTTCTTACATCTTGAACTCTGACATGTAATTTATTTTTCATCATGCGCATATGTATATTTACAGAATTCAATAATCTCATAAACTCGTAATTATTTACAGCTTGAAGCATATATGTACTGTTCTTTCTGAAACGTCCATCAAAATATCCTATTCTTTGCATGAAATATAAAGAAGGTGTAATTTTTTTCTCTGCGGTTACAAATATACCCATGTTTTCCAAATGGAAACAATACTGGAAATGCCAATTCTTCACCATTTTCTCTTTCATATATATTAACCGGATTTTCTTTACATTTTGGTAATACTATATGAGGAGTCTTTGAATTTATTAATTTTGCAATATCAATGTTTGGAGCAGTGTAATTTATAGATATTGCTGCAAACCGTTCCATTTCAGAAATATTCATTGGTAAATTTTCATTCTCTAAAGTATTATTTAACATACTGAAATTTAATTTAATGTCCTCATATAAAATATTATATTTTTTTAACCAAAGTAGAGCCTTAATTATCTTATCTTTTCTGATCATATGTGTTGGCTTTCTATGAGAATTTTCATCATATGACATTGTAAAAACATTAGTGTTAGAGTAATTCCTTGGTAAATAATCAATATTATTTTCTATTGATACTGGAAAATTTATTACCATACCCTTTTCTGCTAACTGACCACCTGGTAAAACAATTATTGTAAGGAAAACATGAATTTTACTAATTAATTTTTTTTCCATAAATGTTAGCTCTTTCAAACATGAGGGTATATTACAGGGATCTAATTTGTTTCCATGCACACTTGTAAAGGGCAAAATATTTTTTTTCAATTTGTTAAAGCAGAAATTGCAAACAATATCATTTACTGTGACTTGTGCAATTTTCAGAATGGGATTGTCAGACACAATAACTCTTGTTTGTTCACTGAATAAAATTTTTTTGCAACAATTACAAACAAACTTTGGAACAAATTCTATCTTATACCTATAAACAGGATCTTGATATTTTCGATGATCAATTTTCAATACCGTTTCTTTAGAATAATTGGTATTAACATTTAATACGGTCTCTATTCTACCTATATTTTCATGAAGAAATGGTAATAAATCTTCATCCTCATTTAAATGCATTGTAGTGCTCGTTTCATTTATTTTGTTTTCAGATGGAAGACTAACTTGCCTATACTTTCTTTTCTTTCTTAATTTAAAATCTGTGAAACAGTATGTGTGATTAGGAAGCCGATTTCTATGTACCAGTTTTACATTACCTTTAGTAATCTTTTCATTTATATTTATATCAAAGTGAAGTTTAGAACTCAATATCTGAAATTAGTTTTAGTCTTTTGGCATTAAGCTTATTCTCCTCTATTAGAAACTGATGTCTATTTGAACTAGGTTCACGTATTGTATTTTTATCATCACATGACTGAAAAACGTTAATGTTTGTATCATCTTTATTCATAGAAATTTCAAATTCTTTCTGTGTAAAATTTGCATTTTGAATACACTGATCGTGCTGATTTTGATCTTTCTCCGATATTC